CGACCCAGGCCCGGGAGGGGGCGCGTGCGGGGCCTGCTGATCCCGCACGCCTAGCTGAGGCTGCCGCTCCTGCGCCCCAGGGTGGGAGACGCTCTGGGGGAGCGAGACTGCGCCCCCTTCGGAGATGGACTGGGGGAGGGTATCGGAATGGGCTGGGGGTGGGGGGACACAGGGATTTGCGGGGGTGTGGGGGGAGGGAACGCTTCGGGAGAAGAAAATGGCGCTTGGTGCAAGTCCCTCCTCTTCCCACGCGGTCTCCTCCGCACTTCGCCGCCTCCCACGCCCCCTCCGACCAACCTGCCTCCCCCGCCCCAGCCGTTGCCAGCCCCGGGTTCTGGCAGCTTTTTGGCGTCGCGCGACCCAGTAAGTCTGTGGGTGCCCATCACCCGCGAGTTGTACCGAAGTCGTGTGCCCTTGGACCTACTTCTTGTTACCCACGTCTTTCCTAACACCGCCCCTTCGGCCCCCCACCGCGCCGTCCTCCAGGAATGGCACGTTGAAAGACTTCGTTTGGCGTGTATTCCACGCCAGTGCGCCTAGCAGCGGTCCCGGCGCTAGCCTGCCTCGTTTTATGGGCGTGGGGGAGGGGGGGCTGCACGGACAGTGAGGGTTCCCTAAGTATTAAAAGTAAAAATACGTTTTGTCAAAACTTGAGAGTTCTTTTTGCCCGAGCTTCTCATTTGGGTTAAATCCACAAAGGTCCTTTGAAATCATCATAGCCCCCAGGCAGCGTTTATTAACAGATGGTGTAGTTACGCTCATCTCTTCTAAAGGGAAAATGCAGGTTATATTCACCCTAATTACCATAAAATAAGTTTCTTGGCATACTAGCTAGCATAAACGATTTTGGAGTTGAGGCTGTGAAGTGGAGCAGTAACAGCAATAATGTAAAATGTGGCTGTGAACATCGCCTCTCCTCCTGAATTTCCTGCAACAAAAAAATTGCCAATTCAAGTCATGCTGGGTTGGACAGTTCAAGTTTTTGAATTTAGTTAGGATTGGATAGCCGACTTTTACCTGGATCTGTTGTGGGACTCATTGCCAGTACTAATGCAAGTTTAGGTCTAGACAGTTGGATTTTTTTTTTGGCGAGAAAGGGAAGCTGTTTTCCCTTTTGCTCAACAGTTACTCTCTGTGTGCGGGGGGTATATTTTGGATCTTTTAGGGCATACAAAATTGGTAGGCCATCGTTTCTTTGCAGATGGAGAGAAAAAAAGGTCCCAGTTTTGACAATAAGGGTACTATTTGGTATTTTAAGTCGCTGTGGAAAAAGGAGGACAGCCCTGGAGTTTCCTGAAATTTGGGGGTTAACCTTTTTAAAGTATCTCTTTGCAAACCATAGGCACAAGGTGCTCTCTGGGTATTTCCACATGCTCTTGAAAGCAAGGTGCCAGTTCAAGTAGGTATGGGGGATTGTCTGGAACTGGGGTCATAGTAGGAATATGAGGAAGAATTTTGCCCTTGATGTAAGGGGATTCTTCATATTTTCAGAGTAGATAATCTGTGAAAATATGAGAATTTTCATTCCTGGTTTTAACAGTGCTTGCTGTCAGCTGCCTTCTTGCAGTCTACCCTACCCATAAACATCTAATTCCACTAAAATGAATTATAAAAAAAGACCCGTTGGCTTTGAGAAAGACAGTGTGGGAGTGTGAGATGTGTATGACATTTAGCTCTTTCTCCTTGCTGGGTTCAGAACATTTCACACTGCATGTGATTTGCAGTTGGGAAGAACATAGATTAAGAGTATAATCTCTAGCAGTATGCTGTGTAACAACTCCAGTACCACACAAGTGGTAAAATGTACCATGGAACTTGGTGAATTTTTGACTGGGGGAGAATTAAGTTGACAGTGATAAAGCAGTTTCTCAAAATTATTTGCATGACTTTTTTCTTTTTCAGAATGCCTAAGTCAAAGGAACTTGTTTCTTCAAGCTCTTCTGGCAGTGATTCTGACAGTGAAGTTGACAAAAAGGTGACTTGCTGTTGTACATTTCCTTGGTACCTAGTTCAGCAATATTGCACACATCCAGTTCTGCAGGACAGCAGGCGTTTCAAGTCTGCAGAGCCTGGATGGATGTTTCTGGAAGTGTGAATGGTTCCTGGAATACTTGACACCTGTTTATTGTATGCACACTGCTAGGCCCTAAAACAAACTAGAGCAAGTCTGTCCAGTTGAGGACATACAGGAGCCCTAGAATTGCAAAACCACTGCCATAAGCCCTAGAAGAAATACCATTAGGCCAAAACCACGATTTGCCATTTGTTTAAAAGTCTACCTTATTAGCAAATGTTATTTGTAGCAGTTCCATCAAATTACTTGAACTTGAATGGTCAATTCGACAGCCACCATTGGTGTTTGTCCGTCCCACAGAATTACTTAAAAATGTAGGCTTGGTAAGTTTTAGGTTGATCAGCAGCTATCTTTTAGATTTTTTTCCTACAGTAGATGACAACCATTCTGAGTGGTGCTGTCTGCATAACCAGGCGTCTCACACTATAGTTAGGGCTTACTTCCACAAAGAACTGTTATCTTCTAGGTTTGCCATTGTGCCTCTGAATTAGCAATTAGTAACATCTTACTGGGAGAACTTGGTGAATATGCACCTACATAAGGAAATACCTAGCATACATATTTATATTCAAGAAAGATATCTTCTGATGTTTAAAATTGTATCTGCTATAGCATTTAAATATGTTCATTTAACAAATTTTTATTGAGCTTTCATGTGTCGGTTTGTATACCATTCTGCAGGGAGTTCAGATTCTGATGTAAAAAATAACTGCTTTCTCCTTACTGAGCTAAATAACTTTTGCTGTTTACCCCAAATAATACTAATCCTATAAGCAGTTAACATTATTACAGTTTCTATACACATTTGTCAATGCATTTTACCTTTATCTAATTTAGTAAAATATTTAAATACGATTTGATAGTTGATATTTTCTCTTAAGGAACATGACTGCCCTCTACTGTTTGGGTTGGAAACTACTGCTTTTCATAGGCCTTTGGCTTATTTTGAGAATAAACTGAAAAACTTTTGTAGTAACGCTGCTTTTAAAGCATACTATTGATTTTTGGTGTTAGTCTAATATATTGCTGTTAAAGGGGCCTTTTTTTGTGATGATGAAATTGAGTTATTTGACTTTCAGCGCACAGTACAGTAGCTTTCTTAGCTCTGCCTACTCCTAAATCCTCTAAGCCAATTTAAATATAAGGCCTTTTGGAAATGGCATAAGTAAATGACCATAGCTTAGAAATGGAATAATGTGGTCGTAGTTGTCCTAATTAGTACATCTCTTGTAAGAAGTAAGTCCTGACTAGGATTAGTAGACCTGTCATTTCCAAAAATTCATTTAAAGCAGCATCTCCTTCCCCCCTTCCTCATTTTTCTAAATCTCTCCAAAAAATCTTTTTTGGCTTCTTGATCTGGGCAATAATAGTTTCTCTAGTTAATACCACTTTAATGCCTGAAGTATTTTTAGGATTCCTGAGAACATTCAATTAGAGGCCAGTGCTGGATGAGTTTCATAGTTAGCAAGTAAAATGGCCTTAATAAATGTAGTCTTTGATCCTCTACATCTTAAAAAGTAATGGAATATTTTGAACCTGAGGTGTGTTTTATTCTTATGTACATATTTTAACCATGTTCTTACTCTTTTCAGTTGAAGAGGAAAAAGCAGGTTACTCCAGAGAAACCTGTAAAGAAGCAAAAGACTGGTGAGACTTCGAGAGCCCTGTCGTCATCTAAGCAGAGCAGCAGCAGCAGAGATGACAACATGTTTCAGGTAAAGCTGTTCATTTCCTTAGATCAGCTAAGGAACTCTTAGCTGACTTGATTTAAAGAATATTAAAAGGACTATAACATGGCCGCGCACAGTAATCTGTGTTCTGATAATTCTTGACTAAGCCTGTTCATTGGTATATAAGAAGTTAGTAATTTTTTCAGTTGTGATGTTTGATTGTTGTTAAAGTCTAGAAGTCTAGTTTTATTATTATTTAAAACAAGGTGAATTTTAGGAATAAAAAAAGTTGAGAACTGCACATTTAGAAAGCAGGTTGGAGGAGAGGGTTAATACTGGGCTGTGAAGTGTGAATTGGATATTAGAGGAAGCAACAATATGACCTGCCTAGTTTTGGCTTGATGGGAACAGGAGAGATAAGTGGCTTTACCTAAATAGCCTCATTGTTTGTATTTAATGGAGAGGAAGATTGACTAGTAGGGTAAAGTGAGGGAAGATCATTAGAGGGTTTTGATGAATTCAGAGGGGACTAACAACAGCTTTGCACCCCTGGGTTTCTTAATCTTGTTTTAGGGAGACTTCTTACTGACATTGTTGTATAAAGGATCTGTGGGGAAATGGGGGATGAGAATGCAAGCAGGTGAAAGGGACTTACCTTGTTTTTCTCCAAGAGCACAGAGTGATGGTCATAAATTACTGGTGAGGAAGAATAGACTAGAGTGATCAGTCAGCCAGCAAGGCTGGTTTTAAATGTGGGAGTATAGAAAGAAAGGTTGTCATTGATAAAATTGAGGAACAGATACTAGTTTCAAGCACAAAGCTGGTGGTTTAACTTTTTGGACCTAACTAAATGTGATAAAGTAAGAGTCATCTTTCTGAGGCACCTGAGGGGCTGCTTGTGACTGGCTTTTTAACTTAGGACATTCTTAGCCTGTGATGAAATTTTTTGTACTGCTCTCTCATTTATGCGATATTCTGGAGAGGTAAAAGCCACAAAGATAGAACTGACCTGCCTTTTTAGGACAGACCATATTCGCCACATTTTGTTAGTCCACACATCTGACTCTGGGCATGGGTGTGCAAGTAAATGTCTTCTCAAGACTGTGCTTGTGCTTCTCTCAGATACACCACAGAAGTGTGGGTGGTGGCTCATACGATAGTTCTGTTGTTGAGATTTCTTGTATTTGTCTGTTTATATGATAGATCAGTTTTTTCAAGGTGTTTTGTTGCTCCATATCTGTTTCACTAGTTTAATGATCCTAATGTTAAACGTGAAATGTGAAGTGATTTTTGTTTAGTTCCATCTATTTGTAAGAGTTCACAGTCGCTTTTTTTTGTACTTTTTATATGGAGTCATTTTCGTGGCTAAAACTTGAATGTGCAGCAAGTTGTAATAAAAATCTGGCAGCTCTATTGAACTGAACACATTTTTTGATGTTTATTTTACAGATTGGGAAAATGCGGTACGTTAGTGTTCGGGACTTTAAAGGGAAAGTCCTAATTGATATTAGAGAATATTGGATGGATCCAGAAGGCGAAATGAAACCAGGAAGAAAAGGTGAGTTTTAATTTCCTGAATTTGATTTTGATGAGGGACTGAAATAAAAGTGATTAAGTAACCGCCTATTTGAAATTGGAAGACTGTTGCTATTGTATAGGGTCAGGAAGATCCTCCTTTAGGTGATTATTTTTGTAGTTTCATTGACATGACAGATGCATGTATATCACTCGTCTATATAAGTAATTCCATTTGTTGTTACCTGGTAATATGACGGTAATTAAAGAATGTAAACAAATGTTCTAGAAAAATATTCCCGACAAAGGACACCAAAAAAGCAACCTTGCCTTTCATTTCTTTGCCCATCATTTCTAGTGGGAGGCCCTTGGGCGCGGTACAGCACCGTTGTTTCTTATATTTTAGAATGCTCTCCTGCAGCATCTTTCCTGCGCTTCATACACTCACAAAACCAGTGATGAGCCCTGTATGCACACCCACATGCTTATAAAGCCACCCCCAAGTGCCTGAGCTCTGCTGCACATCTTGATCATGGTACGCCATGCCAGGAAGGTTGCCAGATACCACTCTGACATAATTACATGAAGTGTCTTATCTACACACATCCAGAAAAAAACAATAGCTCACATATCACTTAAATTGGTTGCTAATTTACGTGAATGTAGTTTAAGTAAAAGCCTCACTAGTGCTGAAGTAGAGTAGATTATACCCTGGGAAGTTAGAAAATGAAGAATGAAAAATCCGTTTACAGTGCTTCTTTTTGACTCATCTCTTCAAGGATATTCTTTAGGCTGGCGACCTTGAAGTGGTGGGTCTTTGTTTCTCCATCTGCTTCATCCAGTCCTAAGCCTGTAGCATCATTCATTCACCACCTAGCTGGAGAACTTTTGCGTGCTAGCAGAATTACATACACAGGCACCCTGCAGATTGTGTGATAAAGCAAAGATTACATTCACGTGTGAGTCATGGGTTCCCAGTGCATGTCAAAAGTTTACAGTGTAAGTGCAGTAGCATTGTGTGAGAAAATACAAAACTGTACACTCTACATGTGACAGATACAGCATATGCTGATGGAAAGCGGCACTGGTAGTTTTGCTTATGAGGGGCTGCTGCAGAACTTCACCTTGGAAAACGAACAAAAAGGCCCCTCAGTATCCATATGTGCGATAAACTGACTAAATTGAGGTGTGTCTGTATTCGGTAGTTGACTGATTTAGGTTGATGCTTAGTTTATGGGGAAAAAAGCCTTTTATTTTCTTCTGACTGTCAGTTTGAAATCTACGGTTTACTTCCTGCCACTTTTGGGGTTTACCAAATAAACCTCTGTGTTCCTATACCCTTTAATATTTTCTTGCTGGGGCCAGTTCTGGATTGCTTCTTCATATACTGTTCTAGCCTAGTTAATGCCAGACTTTTTCCTGCAGACATTGACTAAAGCAGTTTGAGTAGTTTTAAATCCTTTCCCTCAATTTCCTCTCTATTAGGGTCTTCTTCCTCTCAATTTCATGGCTTCCTTGGAGTTTGAGAAAAATGATTTTCTCCCAATTCTAGTTTATTTCTTTTGTGTTCTGATTGTTAAAACATGAAGTTTTCAGTGTAAGATTATTTTCATGCCTTACATCTTAAATAGGGGGACGTATCATTAGCTACCATTTTAAATAATTACTTACTGGGTAATATGGCAAGTCTTTAATTCTTAACTAGTGTGTATGCATTCTGAGAATGCCTGTGCGGGCCATGTCAAAGGGATTTTTCCAAAGTGAAATGAGTGCTTTTGAAAGAACTCGGCTGTCCCTCAGCTAGAGTGCCTATGGATATTTTGTTAGAAGCAACTTATTGTAGAAATTGAGTGTTTTGTGCTAAATCTGGGCTTGGCCCACTTAGCCTGCTAGTTTGCAAATGTTTTGAGAGATACACCTTCAAGCCGTTTATTTTCACTGAATGTCACAGATGTTATGCAGGACAGAGTTGGAAGGAAATGGGTTGACTGGTCTGCTGAGGTAGTAGTGACGAGGTATGATTAAATGTTGTGCATTGTGCCTTTCAAAGCAACAATTTTGGTAACAATATTTTAATTGAAAGTATGGAAATTGTAAATAGATTTTCAAATTTTGCTTTTTCAAACTCTGCTTTAGGTATTTCTTTAAACCCCGAGCAGTGGAGCCAGCTGAAGGAACAGATTTCTGACATCGATGATGCAGTAAGAAAACTGTAAAACCAGAGCCATGTAAAACCTGTACTGTTCTCGTTGTTTTAATCCTGTCTTTTTACATTGGCTTTTGTTTTCTAAATGTTGTTTTCCAAGCTGTTGTATATTTGGATTGCAGAACAGTTTGTAAGATGAATCCTTTTTTTTTTATGTGCATTAAAAATGTTCTGAGTGAAGCTGATTGTCAACTTTATTAAGGAGGATTGCTTTGTTGCCCGCCGCCTAGTGTGAAATAAAATCAAGTGACACAACCTTAACTGTTGTGGCCTTCTTTGATTGGAAGGATTGGTACCACCTAAAGGCCCAAAGTAACAGCATGTAGACCGTTGTAGTCTCAACTCAGCCTTTGTATTTTAAAGGATTTGTATTGCTTTGAATTTATAAAGTTTTTGTTTGTGAAATTTATAGCTCATGTTTTTCTTCCACCCAGCTGTCTTAGAGACTTGTTTGATTGCCCTAACCCAGAGGTACTTTATTCCCTCCTTTTTTTCTTTACCTCATTTTCCTTTAATAATTTGCCATGTTCAGTTTTTATGTTTTGCTTTTTCCTTCCATATATTGTAGTAATTTGGAAAGTCAGTAAAACTGTCAAAATAGTAGTTATTTCACTAAGGTACTTGTAATTAAAATATATGAGAACAAGTGTTAACTAATCTGTTTTAAATATTAGGAGATAAACAACATGGCTTATATGAAAACTGAGCAAGTTAGTGTTTGTCATTATCTGTAGTGTTCTGTGTAGTTATTATAATGCTTAGTCTAAAACAATAATGACTTAGATGTCTTATTTGCTCTCATTTCTCAAACATGTTCACCTGGAATGATGTCTCTAAAATCAGATACTGTTAACTTAGAGTAGGCGCTAATAAAAGTTGTGAAAGCTTACTTGCCTAACATTTCATTTTATGACATTGAGTATGGATTATATCACTAGAACTGTCACTGAGCTTTAACGTCACAGTAGGTAATCTCAGTTTTTAGGGGAAGGAGGATATAGAGCATTTACTTATGTTTTTTGGCCTTTGTAGACTTGGTTATTTTGTAATAAATCTACTGGACAGTAGCATTCTGGACTTTAAATGTTACTAAGTTCTAGCACATATTCTGAAGTGATTGCCATTGAACCATGATGAAACAGACACAGATTGAAGCACAGATTCAGGGCTTTGCAGCAATAAATGGGACATGGTGTGCCTTAGAAAAATGTTTATAAGGGAACTATAACTGAAATGAGAGGTCGCGTTGAAGAGGAAGGACTGCTCTTCAAAGTACGTGATAACATGGTATTTTGATCACTTTGTAGAACACAGTTCTAGTAGAATAGTACAAAGAAAGGTTTAAAGACGTGTAAAAAGTTTTTGTTGACAAGTTTTTACTGGCAGCTGATCCCCCCAGGTACTGCCACAGAGTTGCACTGTTGTACCCAGTTAGATGACTACGTCTGAACACTCTGTAGGATGGTCAAGGACTTGGTTTCATGGCCATCCACCAGGCCACGTACAGTTACCAGTTTTAATTCTGGCAGCTATTGTGTTTTAACCTTTTTAGATGATTTTTTCCATGTTTTTACAGGTAACCCTAACAGGTGCATAATTGGGGAAATAAAACACTCGTATTTTAGCTGTCACCAAAATAGGTACCAAAGTGTTCAAAATAATCTTATTTTTAGACAAATCATACTTGACTGATAACGATCACCTCAGTTGAGAACATACGTGTCCTGTTAATTAAATGGGTAGATTTGTGAAGTATTCCTTATGACACAGAACATAGAACTTTGATTTTGATGTAGATGAAGAGGGAATACTGGGTACATTTCCTAAGTTTATTTGAATTAGGGTGGTGTATGCATTTTTAAACAATCTGCTAATACAGAGATGGTGCTGAAATCTGTTAGCTTAGGCATATTTTTCTAGCTGTTTAGTATTATGTTAAAATCCTCATATAAGAGTGTTTCTCTGGCAGAATTTGGCTATGTTAACAGGAAAATTCACGTAAATAAATTACTGGGTAAACAGTACACAGAAACTAATTTTTTGTGTGCATGTATATAGGAAAGGAAGAGAACTGGGTCAAAAGAAAGACAAAATAACTTGTACTGAAAAGATAGGTACTTCTGCTTTAAACTTTAATCTTTGTGGAAAGATTTCTTCTAGGAAGAAAGGTTGGCATTGTGAGGCGACCTTGCCTCGGAATGCCGAAGCGCGTGTACTGAAGTCCCAGGTAGCGGGGCCTGCCTTGTCTTTCCAAGGGCAAACAGCATCTGACCCAGTTTCCTAGGCTCTTGGTGTTTTACTTCATGAATAACCAGTACAAAAGAAAAAGTACAATTTGAACGTTCTTTCGCTGTACTTCATAAATGCCTAAGGACTTTTGTGAAGAATACTCCTACCTCATAGCCAGTCAAAATGCTGTGATAATCTACCTATACTAGACAAGTGTTTAGAAAAAGATTTAAGGGGGGAAAAAAAAGTACATAAATTCTGGCTTGGCTATTGAGTGGAAAAGAGAAAGCTGAGTATTGTTTCTGAGAGAGGTATTTTAGAAGAGTACTGTTCAAATTTGAAATTTTTAAAGTGCTGACTAATATTTAGAGATCTCTTAAAAAATCTCGAGTTCACTTTTTATGGAAATTATCCCAGTGAAACACTCCTTTTTTTTTTAAGTGGTGTTTTTCCAGATAAACTCTAGGATTAAACATTCACATACTCACAAATAAGTAATTCTGTAATTGTGGAATACTTGTATGCTTTGTTCAGTACATCTTCCATGGAGATGTTAATGAATATAATACTCCATCTGTGAATATTTTAAATGTTGAAATAAAAATAAATGTATCCTGTGTGTCATCTCAGTTTCACAAGCCTGAAGGTGAATGGTTGTGTTTTGAATGGATTTATTAACACCCAAAATGCCTTTCTGTGTGAATGCTGTGGAATGTGAATTAACTTTAGGGTGTTAAGCCTCCTAAGGGCCAGGCTGTGTGGGCCTTTGCTTTCCATCTACTTGATTCAAATGGAAAAATACCAGTTTAAGTTGTACATGGCTACTCCATTTCCTGACCCTATACAATCTTACAGTCCTTGGTTTGCTTAGCTGTAAATGGACTTTGGGTGTTTCAAAAAATTTTTCATTTATAGTATTTCTTGACTAGTACTTCTGCTTTGTTTTATATATATATACACAACACACACACACACACGGATATTTAAACTGATATATATATATATATATATATGAATATTTAAACAATGAGATCTATGTACCTATATGTTTAGTGGATAGGTTTAAATATCCATTTAGGGAAATTTACACATGGATAGAAAGATCCATAGATGACGTCTTCACTTAGATTCTTACTTTGTTTTACCTAGAACTGTAAGTTTGCTTTTTAAGTTAAATATATTAAAAAAATCCAATGACGAAGGAAAAACAGTACTTGTAGTTTATACAATTAATTACTGACTTTGTAATTTTATAGGATGACTCATAGGAGTTAGAGGTTTGAAAAGCATGAGCACTGAAAAGTCACATGAAATGCTTTACTGTGTAACACTTAAAATCTTGCCACCCAGCTCTCGTTTCCTCTGCTTGCTTCATTTAAGATCACAGAGTTCGGACCTTCCCAGACCTGCTTTTACACACTTCTTAGTTCTGGATCTCCAGTGCTCCGTTTCTCACAGAAGTGAAATGATCCGTTTCACTCGTAGTTCTGAATAAAGAGTTTTAAGTAGGCTTATATTTCTGTGGGTGTCCTGTTTTACTTTGGAAATCCTCTGAAGAGAATTTCATACTGTACGTCCCCTGGTGACGAAAGCAGTAGAAAGAGCTACCATCCATGCTGGAGCTGAACTAGTATGTAGTAGCTTGTGTGTCTTGGAGTCATGCAGGCCCTTGCTGGTGGTGCAAAGGGTTAAGTCTCAGGACTATGAAGTTATCACCAGCCAGTGCAACACAAGTTCCATCGCCAGCCGGGGAGCTGACCCGCATGGCACAGCAGACCTCTCCTGTCTCACCCTCAGCAGTGCATTTTGGTCAAACTCTGTCTCTGATGAATCCTCTCACATACCCTCACTCCTCTCTGCCCACACCTCTGGCCTGTACCCCAGTTTTTGTATGTGTAAGTAAAAAGTGATGAGTTCCACTTTGTCTACCTTAAGTAAGCTCGATCTGCTAGTAGCTTCTACTCTGACTTTATTTCCCAAGCTACAAATAGTTGCAAGAGTGGTACAGAGCAGTCCCTGCATGCCTGTGCCAACCCAGCTGTGTCATTAGATTTTGCCAACTGTTCAGTGTTTATAGCAAACGCGTCCAGCCCACATGGTCACCATCTCTTTTAAAGTCTTCGGTCCCAGGTTCCTTAGTTTCACCTTGACTTTTTCTTCCTGGACTTCTGGAAGTACACTGTAGTACTTGGGCTGTTGGGGATGCTAGGGAAGGGCAGGATGGCAGAAGCCAATTGGATGAGGATTGGAGGGGCGGAGCATGGTTGTGAAGGATGAAGAGGTGGGGTGGAGGCTGCAGCTGGATGTGGGGTCAGGGAAGAGTGCGATTGGGACATGGCAACATTGAAGCGAAGGTGCGCTTGTGCATTTGAAGCAAGTTCACATTGATCCTTAGGGGTGAGCTACAATTTTTTTTAAGATTTATTTATTTATGCATACAGAGCTGGGGTATGGGCTAGAGGTGTGGGGGTGGTGAGAGGATTCACCAGAAACTGGAGCAGAAGAGGCATGTCTACTGATAAACACTGCTGAGTGGTACAAGTAGTGAGGGGCACCCCTGAACCTCCAAACCGTCCCGCTCTAAATAGGTTCTGTCCTCCACCCATCGAGACAAAACATAAGACTTAATGGAAAAGAACTTTTATGCAATCAGTGTGCCATACAGAAACAATAAAGAAAATGGTTTCTAAATCACACCTGAAGTTACCCATCCCCTTGTGGGAAAAAGTCCACCCAAAAGGGATTGGCACAAAGCAAGGCCTGAAAGCCTGTACAGTCTAAAGTATTTTTCTGTGGGGGCCCATAGAAAAGGGTCAGAAATGAACAGAAAAGTCTGGGAGGAAAAGAGCAAAATCAAAGTCAAGATAAACACTGCCGTAGTCAACCTCCCCACAGGTCTCTCACCCACTTCTGTGTCAACCAGTCCAGAAACAAGACAAAGCTGCTTCACATGTCTGTGCTCCATGTTCCTCCTTCAGGTCTCTGGCTCCCTATCCTGCTTCCTTCATCCTCAGTCTCCTCTCTAGATTGCTCTCTTCCCTGCTCAGCTCAACCCTCCTTTGGGTGGGGCAGGGAACCTGGAAATGCCCCTTTTATTGGGGACCCCACCCTGCTACCTGAGGCCTGCCATGTGGGCCACCTCCCTGGCCAGGGATCGAACTTGTGCTGCAGTGGCTGCGGACAACTTCATAGGGCTGTGCTTAACCCGTTGTGCCACCAGGGAGGGTCCAGAAAGGGTATTATTGTGTCCTCAGCACATGCTAGTTGGGGACTGCCTGAATCCTCTAACTGGCTAAACTCAGGTCTGGGTTTGTACCAGTCTGCCTTCTGCCAGAACTGCAATTTGAGGTAGGTTGACTTACTCTTCAGTGTTGGGATTAGAATTTCCTTTTGGCTAACCGGGCAACATGGGCCTTGTGACTGCATAGAAAAGCTTAAGTAGTAATGAATACTGCTGAGAAGACGAGAATTAAAATCTGGCCTTAGTCTCTCCTCCTAGTCTTTTGGCAGGTGCGAGGAAGGTGACACAGAGGCTCTCCACTGCACGGGGCAGTCTACGGTGCTCCTCCGCAGAGGTCTCTGCCTGCCTGCCCGGTGGGCTGGCCTGGGTGGACCAGAGGGGGCGTCCCTGCTCTCTGGCTACTGCTGAATTTGGCCAGTGCAGAAACCTATTACAAAAGAGAGAGGAGGAGCTGTCAAAATTTATTCCTCTGGCTCTTCATTCAAGGTCACCTTGGGCTAGCTGAAGTTCTCAACTCAAGGGGTTTTCTAGACTCTACTCATATTTGTAAATGGTCTCTAAAATCATCCCCAAGTTGCTATGTGTCATCTACTTCCTGTTGACACCATGACATTGGTAACAGGTACCGCAAGTGATGGCAGGAACACAGTGTTCTGGGTGAGGTTGTCACATACATTTGGAGAGGACAAGGTTAAAGCCGAAGTAGAGAGATGAGTCGGCTGTGGCAGTGGTGTTGCCACAAGCACTCAAACGAGTCAGAATGTGGTCAGTGAATCAAGTACAGGGGGAGGGCAGGACTGGCACTGTGCCATGGTGGCTTGATGGGATTAAGAAGTCGCAGACACCTTAAACTGTCTGACAGCCCTGAGACAGTATGTAAGGAAAGGAAACGAAAAAGCAATAAATGTAAAAATAAGAACACTTAGTGAGGGCACCTCACGGCAGCTTTGAAAGGGCCTCACCTGTGCTTCAGAGCAGCCTGGGGACAGGCCCGGGCTTGGTTGTGGCGGGCAGAGCTGCAGCCTCAAGAAGTGTCTGTTCCGCTAGATGGCTGTGGGAAGGAGACAGCACTTGGGGGAGGACCCTCCCCATTTCCCTGCAAACAGGCCACAGGCAGGATTGGATGCTTGCCTTTCCCTGCTTGAGTTCCGGGAGCTGCTGGAGGAGGGCCTGTCAGCAAAGGAGGGGGATTGAGATGTTTTCGCCCTTCTGGGGGAGGCTGATGGGCATTTGTGGTAGTGGGCCCCTCAGGGGGTTAGTCATAGGTGGGACTGACCAGTCACTTACACTTAGGAGCCATCTGAAGAAGGTTTGCAGCCCATCCTGGGGGTCTTTGGCTCGATTTCCCCCTTCTTCCCACAGATTTTATTATGGAAAACGTCAAACTTATATAAAAAGTGAATCATCCATATTTATTTTGAAACATGCTGTCTCCCTTGCTGAGCTGTTTGAAAGCAAATTGCAGCTGCAGACATAGTAAGCACATATATGTACACTCACATAAGCACAGACTTGTACACATAAATATATACAAATCTTTTTGGTTGAACTATTGTATTACTTCTGCTGGTAATATTTTGGTGATGTTTAGGTTGAAATATGTGAAGAAAATTCAGCCCCACAGAAATATATAATTGGAAAAGGGGAGTATCTTAATAGCCACCTCATGTAATTGTGGCTGTTCTTTGATAAGAGACTCAAAACTTGACACACGATAGTTTCTTAAAGGTTAATTGCATTGTGCAATTTTTGCTTGAAAGCTTGAATTCCACCATTAGTAACAAATGCTGTCAATTGCTTTCCTTGAAGTGACAGAGTTTGTTCCTTTTTGAGAAATATCTGCCAGATCCATAATTCTGAATAATCATAGTTTGTCAGTCATTCTTGTAAGTCCAAGTGGTGGAGAAAATAGTTCAGCTCAATCCAAACAACTGTGCTTATTTTTTCACATGGAGACAGCCACTGAATCTCAATGTGTATTTCCTAAGAATAAAGACATTTTTCTTTTCTTCTAATCTCACTATGATCACAACTTTGAAAAGCTCATTTTCTAGAATTTTTTTATATTAAAATCTCCCCAATTGTTCCTCCAAATGTTCTGTTTTTGCCCTGATGAAAGCTCATGTCCATTGTTTGGTTATTAGCCACTTTCAATCTAGGATAGTTACTATTTCTGTCTTCTGTGACTTTTTTCAGAGTCCAAGCCAAGCTTCTGGTCATATGTCCCACATTCTGGGTTTGTCTGTTCTGGTTAAGTTGGGATGAAGTGTCTTTTGCAAGCACTTAATACAGGTGAGGTTGCATTATTATTGCATCACGAACCATAAAGCATCAGGTCAGGTTGCTTCACTGACCGCTAAGTGAAGGGGATTGTTAGATTTTT